TTCTCGCTTCGTGAAGTGTTCCATTAGATTTTTTTTGAACTCGCTGCCTTTATATTTGTTGTCTTTAAATGATTTCATCATTCCCTGCATTGTCCTGTCGAGAAGGGAATGAAAACGTTCGGCAAATAAGAACTGTTCGGACAGTCCTGCTGCTTGGTTCTGCTGAGGCAGTGCAAGCGTGAATGTGATATTGACAACCTCTGTTACAGATTGTCACTGTCAGTGGGGTGAAAAGCACACACAGAGGGAGGGAGGGGGGGGGGGGGTTACACACCTCGATTCATCTTGGCGGGATCCAGCGCCCAGTTAGAGATGCCTACGAAGGCGACGCGCTCCTTGATTGGCACAATGCCCTGGTTAGTACGGCTCTCATCATCTCCACCGCCCGTGCCATCTTCCAGCAAGGGATGCAAGGCCTTGAGAGGCAAGCGGGGCGAGTCCTCGGCCAGTCCGACCTCGTCGAGTACGACGACGGCCACAAAGCGCTCCTTGTTCTTGTCTTTCTGGAAGTTCTGGCACTGGTTGAAGGTGCCGACGATACCACTCGGTGTGCTCAACGGACTGCACTGGTATGATACCATGTGGACCTGACACATGATCGGGTGTAAGTACGACAAGGATGGCGATAGTAGTAGTAGCAGCAGCAGTGGCGGAAGCAGCAGCAGCAGCAGCAGTAGCGGCAGCAGTAGCAGCAGTAGCGGCAACAGCAGCGCCGGCAACAGTGGTAGCAGCAACAAGAAAAAGTAGGCATTTGTTAGATTAAACGTTGCAAACAAAAGGAATTTCACATCTTGCACCCCAGTCTAAACTAATTGGCTGCATATTATCACCCGGAGAATGTCACTCGGATGGGTTATGCGTGATACCAAGAGTACATAAACCCCCAGAGTGTGCAACGCCTGATCCAGCTTTGCATAGGGTCTTGGTCGAGCGAAATCGGATCTTTGCGTCATAATACTGTACACATCCGAGGGGAACCCGGGGAGTCGCGGGTACTCTCGGATCAAAAACAATGGTACCCTGCGTCGAGACCGGCCTTGCGCTGGTGTGGAGTGTACGCATGACATCAGAAGATCCGATTCCGCTCGACAAAGACCCTATGCAGAGCTGGATCAGGCGTTGCACACTCTGTGGGGGGGTATGTACTCTTGGTGATACATACATGCAGGCACACACCATGATCACTTGACCCGGCAGTGAACAGGTAACAAGACATGCAGATCAAACCGAGAGTATCCAGGAACCTTCCCCCTAACAGCTACACGCCGTCACACGATGCGCTCAGATTTCATGTCATCATACCATGTACAGTTAAACCTGTCAAAGCGACCACTCTGATAAGGTGACCACCTGGCCCATAGGACCATTACAACCAGGACCAAGAGATGTTATATCCAGCCAAATAACCCTGGATAAGGAGACCACCTGTACTAGGAGCCTCTGAAATCAAGACCAAAGCAGGTTATTTCCAGTCAAATGACCCTGGATAAGGAGACCACCTGTATACGAAGGCCACAGTTGTCACGTCATTTGAGCGGTCAGCTTAGACAGGTTCCACTGCATGTCTGGTATAACAACCTACCTGCTTCAAACAGCGGAATAGCGGTGATTGCGAGCTATCTCCCTGCATGACATCCGCCACTTCGGTCTTGGCCAGCGACTTGGAGCTGCCCGGTTTACCGACCAGGAAGAGCGGGATGCGTGTGTCGATGCACACCACCATCATGAACACGTTCTCGCGCAGCGCCTTGTTCTTGGCGATGTTGGGGCCAAGCTGTAGCTGATCCAGGAACACCTCCTGACACCTTTGCAGCAGTACAGAGCACAGGTAAACACACACACGCACACGCACACGCACACACACACACACATGCAGGCGTGAGCACTGAACTTGCTAAGCTGGTGCGTACCGGTAGGCATGCGCAAGGAATGCATTCTGCAACCCACATAGATCTAGAAGGGATTGGGCAATATAAGCTGCATAGTGAAATGATGGCATAGGGTTCAAGGGCAGGCGGGCAGCCTGAGAGGCAGGCAGGCAGGCAGCAATAAGTACTGAAAGATGGACAGCATCCACGGCCAAGTGACCAACAACAAAACACACAATCCACAGCGCTTTACCTATCAATCTCCTCCTCAAGCTGTTGTCCCGCGCCAGTGAGGTCACACGGTGAAGAGAATGCACGTGCTACTGAGTCACGGAATGGTACTCGGTCTCGCAGCCTTGCTTGATAGCACACACCCAGTGATAGGACTAAGGAACGGGTGACACGTGTTAGTGGCTGCAGTATAGGAACATGAGATAGGTAGACAATGAGAGTGAGAGGGAGAGGCAGATACGGAGACAGAGGCGGAGACGGAGGGAGAGGCGGAGGCGGAGGGAGAGGGAGAGGGAGAGGGAGACGGAGGGAGAGGGGGAAGCGGAGAGGCGGAGAGGCGGAGGGAGAGGGAGAGAGAGAAAGAGAGAGAGAGAGAGAGAGAGAGAGAGAGAGAGAGAGAGAGAGAGAGAGAGAGAGAGAGAGAGAGAGAGAGAGAGAGAGAGAGAGAGAGAGAGAGAGAGAGAGAGAGAGAGAGAGAGACAGAGAGAGAGAGAGAGACAGAGAGAGAGAGAGAGACAGAGAGAGGGAGAGAGAGAGAGACAGAGAGAGACAGAGACAGACAGAGAGAGACAGAGACAGAGAGGAAAGAAGGGAGAGGAGAGATAAAGGAGAAAGGACAAAAAGAGAAGGAGAGACAGGGGCGTAGCCAGGATCATGGTCAAGGGGGGTGCCCATAATTTTCTTCCAATAACGTTCTTTTGAGGAATCTTGTACATGTATGCATATTGTATGCATGCTACAGATTGTATGCATGCTACAGTCCATTTCAAAACTATAGACGCGTAGGGTTTTTGAAATATTTCAAATTTGGCTGTAGCTTTTTGAGAATAGTTTTCGGAATATTGCTCAGGTCCGCTCCACAATTACTCTCATATAGTTTCTAGATAAGGCCATGGTAAAAAATAAAGTTGATTCTCAGGTCATGAGCCTATGAAAATCGGTGCGAGCGAGCGATTTTTTATTTTAATTCCCACAATTTTTTTATTTCCAAAGATAGGGTCACACATGTGTACGTCACAGGTTCACGAGAGACGGCAAAAAAGCATAGGATGTTATAAATTTTTCAATTCTCCTACCATATATTCTCTATTATAAGCGCCGTGCTTCTATTTTTTGCCGTCAGATACGGATAGCGCCAGGCGTGACACAAACAAACAAACAAACAAACACACAAATACCAAACGAGAGAGCTTGGAAGCTACATGTTATAAGAACTGATGGAATTGTCTTTTTCCGTTGATTGGCCACATCACTGTATTCCAAAAACGTTTCAATCGGTTTGAATATTATGAGTTAGGCAAAAGTATTTGCAGAATTTATTGCGGATTGTTATTTCTCTAATAATCATCTACTTTTGTTTTGCTCCTTAAATTTTTATCTTCTTATATTGTAAATCAACAAACTTTGGCCGATGAGAAATAGAAACCTCTCGATTAGAGAGGTTAAGATGCACGTTATTTCCGACGTGACGCGCAGTTTCACGTCAAATTTGAAATCGATCGGTATTTTTGCTCTCACATGCATCCATTGCTCAATCATGCATCATTTGCCTATATGACAAACGTTGGCCTGCGATTTACTTTGGCCGGTTGGTACCAAGCGGCGAAATCAGCGAAATTAAACCGCCAGCGAACATTAGTTGATTTTAATACAGGAATCGGATTTTCTGGCCTTTTTGTAGTAATACATTTACATTGACCTGTTGAGCCAATGACGACGCCGAATGCATGGTTGCCTGTGGAGCACATTACATAACTTTACAGTCTCCTAAAATACGTATCCTGTCCGACGGCAAAAGAGGCTGCAGATTTAGTTTTTCTGCGCGTCGACGGGATGTCTGCGACGCGAAAGTTCAGCTCGCGTTATTTGGCTCGCACGTCGAAAAAATCAACGCGAGTGACCTGCTGCTCACGTCGAAATTTGGACATTACATAACTTTACAGTCTTCTATATAAATACGTATCCTGTTCGACGGCAAAAGAGGCTGCAGATTTAGTTTTTCTGCGCGTCGACGGGATGTCTGTCCTGACGTTTACTGGGACCGGCGCTGACTCTGCCGATCACGGGCGTTCTGGACTCGACGGGATGTCTGTCCTGACGTTTCCTGGGACCGGCTTAGACTCTGCCGATCACGGGCGTTCTGGACTCAACGGGATGTCTGTCCTGACGTTGCCTGGTACCGCCGGACTCTACCGATCACGGGCGTTCTGGAGTCGACCGGATCTCTCTTCCGACGTTTCCTGTGACCGGCACTGAATCGCTCGTTCACGCTTATTTTGGAGACGACGGGATCTCTCTTCCAAAGTACATGTATGTTTATGCTGACGCATCCTATCACCTAATTGGCGTCTATTCTAATTTAATTTCCTCCTCGTCTCCCTATTTCTTTCCAAATCCCCCTCTACATCAGGGAGTCGTATGCATAATACGACGAATATTGGTACGGTACGGGACAGATACAGGAGCCCGCAAATATTGTGGACAGCTGTTATGTACAATCCTGTAGAGCCTTTGTAGTCACAGATACGGGACAGATACGGGACAGATACGGGATAGCGCCAGGCGTGACACAAACAAACAAACAAACAAACAAACAAACACACACACAAATACCAAATTAAAGCTGTGTGGACCCTGGCTAGCGCCAGACGTTACTGAAGTAACGTCTTCTGCATAGCTACGGGAATTAATCTCCCTATTTCTTTCCAAATCCCCCTCTACATCAGGGAGTCGTATGCATAATACGACGAATATTGGTACGGTACGGGACAGATACAGGAGCCCGCAAATATTGTGGACAGCTGTTATGTACAATCCTGTAGAGCCTTTGTAGTCACAGATACGGGACAGATACGGGATAGCGCCAGGCGTGACACAAACAAACACACACACAAATACCAAATTAAAGCTGTGTGGACCCTGGCTAGCGCTAGACGTTACTGAAGTAACGTCTTCTGCATAGCTACGGGAATTAAAGCTGTGTGGACCCTGGCTAGTACCAAATTAAAGCTGTGTGGACCCTGGCTAGCGCCAGACGTTACTGAAGTAACGTCTTCTGCATAGCTACGGGAATAATTAATTTATAATAATTTTATTATTCAGGCCAGGGAGTAGAAAAATACCGGTATTTTACTACTCCCGGATTCATGCCTTTCGCATTGACCGTTTTCATGCACGCATATGCATGCATAGAAATAAAAAAAATCGTCGGTGCGCCACCAAAAATCGATGCGCGCGTACTTGAGAATCAAAGATATTTTTTACCATGGCCTAACAGACGCCCAATTTGGAAATATTTATGCACAAAGTGATCACAGATTGTATGTGGTATAGATGCTGGCATAACGGTTTTTGCCTAGGTACGCGTCTATAGTTTTGAAATGGACTGTAGTGCGGTGTACACCTTGAATTATTGATGTATTATGAATGTCTCCAGCTTGCCATTCCAACAATCTACTTCCTCCGCGTCATTAAAATTGTTGCTTCCCAGAGCGATTTTTCGAATTTATTTTGTCCACTCGAGGGGCAAAGAAATCAGCTAGAAATTGAGGCAGAGCATTGTCGACGGACCAAACTTTAGTTTGTGGCCTCCCGCTTCGCTGCACTTGCAGCTGAGGTCGACGTCTTCATCAGAGTTTGAGGCAGACCCTTCAGCACTCAACAATACGCTGAAGAAGACGCGCGTTCAAATTCAGGTCAAGAACCTTCGTTTTCAAGCGATCCATGCCTCCAGGTGGCAGGGGATGAAGGCAAGCTAGCATTTTTCAAGTACACTGTAACGACCTTCCAGCGGGGTAGGGTAAGCAGTTCCGCACCTTCTTTCCTTGGCAAGCGCTTCGCTGATTTTGTCGGTGTTTTCAGACCTGCTACCTTCGCAGCAACATGCGCCACAAGTAGCGCATTTTAGGACTTTGAGACCACTTTGTTCATGGAGTAACTAATACTTGCACACTGACTGCAACGGAAAAGTGCAAGCACGTGTAGTACAATGCAGTACTCGCAGATCTACGTAGCATGCACCCAGTCCGGGCTGAGGGCAGTCGCGGTTGTTTGATCATACAATGCATGCCAAGCCAGACCCATGGTCGAAATTTTTGAGGGGGGTGCTTTGGCACCCAAAGCACCCCCCCCCCCCCCCCCCCCCCCTCTGCCTACGCGCCTGAGAGAACACGTGTGCACCAACCTTAAAAAAAAAAAAGAATCCACAAATGTGTATTTTAAAAGGATAAGGGCACAAGACCTTCTAATGGCTTGTGATCATCGCACACACTGCAACCTTGCTATCAACATACACAAAGCAACATACAGTCACAACGCATCGAAATCTTAACAGCACATCTCACCGGCGGTCGATTTAGATCTTCCTCCTCGCCCGTCTCTATGTTCACAGTACGATAGAGCTCGTCCTCTTTGCCACGCATCAGCTCGTCGAGCACCTCGCCGCAAAGCCAGTAGAACCACTTGAACACCATCATGGCACGCTCCACGTCGCGCAGGCTGACAAAGCTGCACTCGTCCCGCTGTTCGCGCATGAAGCGTTGCGCTGCTGCCAGCACGGCCGTGATGGGAGCGACCAGAGGGTGCTCGGCGGTCTGCCCCGTCTGGACACCGAAGCGCGCCTCGTCCCAAAAGTCCGGCTCGTTTTTGATGTAGCGGCGGACGATCTGTCGCACGTACAGCTGCTCGATGTCCGTGTTCAGCTGCCCAAAGTCCCAGACCAGCGGCGACATGCTGCCTGCAAAGTCACGGTGGATATCACAGAAAATAAAAACAGTCAAACACCACCGTGTGGATAAACGGCGTGTGTGTGCGTGCTTGCGTGCGTGTGTTTATGCGTCCGTGCGTGGGGAGGGAGGGAGGGAGGGGGCAAGAAAGACCTTCAAACTGCAGAGCGCCAAAAGAAGAAAGACAGGAGAACAGTTTCAAGAACACAAGACAAAGAAAGAGTATACAAAGCAATACCCCTATACACATACCTGGCAACGGATGCACACGGTACACAAGCTGTCGCAGCGGAATACGGCCCAGTTTGTCCACGGTCTCCGTGGCACGGACATGATAGCCGAGACCGGCCTCCTCCAGCCGCTGGATCATCTCCCGGGTGTGGCGGCGGTACGGGTTACAGGCGGCGATGAACTGCAGACGTGACGAGGCGTTGATCGCCTGACCGTGGACGCGCCGATCGCACATGACCTCCTTGATCATGCCCAGTGCGTCGCTGGTGTTCGCCTCGTCGAAGAACAGGACCGTGTCGATCTGGTACTGCTCGGCGTTGTACTGCGCCAGCTCCTCGGCGTGTTCCACGGCCTTGCGTACGTGCTCCTCCGTCGTACCGCCGTGGATCTTCATGATCAGCATGTTCTGCACGTCCAGGTTGTGTTGGAACTTTGCGCCACTCGCCTGCAGCTCGCACATGAAGCGGATGAGGCGCGTCTTGCCGCAGCCCGTCTCGCCCATCACTATGACTGGGATGCTGCAGCGGAAGCGCATCTGAATGGCCAGGATCTTCTTGACGTTGTCCAGTGTCAGTTCGTAGGTCTCGTCCACTTCGTGGGCCACGTCCTGGCCGAACGCCCGGCAGCCGAGCACCTTGGCCAGGCACTGGAGCCGCTTCTCGCGATCCCAGTTCTCAAAGTTCTCCTGCAGGTCAACGCGCTGAGCTCGCAGGCCGGCATGCAGTCGTCGTGACATGATGTCCTCCTCGAGAACCGCGCCTGCCTGGTCCACCAGGCTGCCGTTCTTCTCCACGTTAAAGCCGACGAAGGTCATGCTGATGTGGTCGTCGTTGAAGAACAGGTACGGGTGAGGGCTCTGCTCCCAGCGACGGCGGATCACAATCATGTCACCTCCGCCGCCGCCGCCAGCCTCTTCTTCCTCGGTGTCCTGCATGCCGGAGTCCACCTCCAGCGACGGAGTAGCAAAGTCGACGGACATGCGCAGCATGAAGCGCACGACAAACGCGCGGAATCCGTTAAGCTCGTCACCGACCGCCGCCGTGTTGCAGAAGACGCTGTGCTCGCAATCCGCTAGCTGGGCATCCAGAAAGTGCACGAAGTGCCGCAGCACCAGCCAGGACGGGTCGGGCGTGCCGCAGTACTTCAGCAGCAGCTTGAGACAGGACAGGTGGTCGCTAGCGCCCGTGTGCTGGCTAGCGATGAACGAGTAGCGGTCCAGCGACTGGCCCTGCTCATGGTGACGCAGGTAGCCGAAGACACGCTGGAAGCGGCTCGAGGAGAACTCGCCGGCATCCAAGTGCGGCACCAGCTGCTGCCCCATGGCCAAGGGCTGGGTTTGTCGGCGCTGCATGAACAGCCTGGAGTTGAGCGCGTCCACTGGAGAGCCGCACAGGAAGGCGGGCAGCAGAGTGTAGAGCGGCAGGCAGGCATTGTGCGGAATGGCCGCCAGCGGGACGTTCTCCATGTTGGCCATGAAGCCTGTGGCCTTGCAGAGCGCCGAGAACACCACCTCGTCGCACGTCACCTCCACCACGTACAGGTCGGTGGCCGAGCGACGCCACACGCGACCCACGCGATCGCCAAGACAACCGAGCACCAGCAGGTTGAAGAGGAAGGTATCGAGGCCGGTGCGGATCGTTGGTGACACGTCCACGTGGAAGATGCAAGGTGCCGCCGCTTGCTGCTGCTGTGCGTCCGGAGCGAACTTCAGCAGCAGGTCCATGACGGCAGAGACGTTGACGGCGTTGCCCTGCAAGGGGATGCTGTTTAGCAAGCATGGCCGCTGAGGGGGCTGGTGCGATGGCGCCATGAACCGGTGTTGATGCTGAACTAGCCCGGGACGATGAGCGCTCAAGCCGAGCTGGCTCTCCAGCTGCTCCTCCATGCGCTTGGCAAAGAGAGACTTGCCGACGCCGGCGCGTTTTGAGGCGATCACGCGCACACACGACTTGTCCGTGTCCACGACAGCAGCCGGCTTGGCGTTTAACGCCGCCGAGAACGATGCCGTGGGAGAGGCTGCCGTTGTGGCCGCCGAGGGAACCGCCATGCGACAGAACTGCGTCAGCAAGTAGCCGCGCAGGTTTACGTGGTCGCACGGCGGGGCTGTGGTACGGTACTCCTCCAGCGCAGACATGATCCACGTGTGCTCCTCATTCTCGCGGCAGCAGATGATGGCGAGGGCGAACTGCGTGCACGCTTCCTTCTTGGCAAAGTCCAGCAGCTGTCGCAGCTCCTCGACTGCCTCGGAACTGACGGAGTAGTCCAATTGATCGGCGTTCACCAGGCAGAAGAGCTGCCGGGAGAAGATGGCACGTCGCCAGAGCAAGATGACTTCCTCGGTCGTGGTCTTGGAGCTGCAGACGAGCACCTCGGAGGCAGTTGGCAGCGGGCGGGTGGTGTCGTGACGATAGAGGTCCAGAACGGTGCCGTACATATCCGCCTGTGACACAACGATCATATTGGGCCTGCCCAGCGCGATCACATTCTGCGGGATAGAGCGAGGTGCTGACGCTGGTCGCACCTGGCAGCTGAGGCTGTACAAGATGTGCCCAAGCTGCGACAACGTGAGGTAACGAGGTGCTGCTGCTGAAGAGGAGGAACTGGACGTCAACGAACCACCGGCACCGGTCGGAGTGAATACGGAAGCGTTGGCATTCAGCGACCCACCCATGTCCATCGGTGTGCCCGCTTCATCACCAGCTGCACCGTCGCCCTCCGAATCACTCTTGAACGCCTCCTCCATCTGCTCCAGCTTGCGCTCGTTGCTGCCGTGCTTTGCGGCCCAGTTGGCTGCCTTGGTGACATCGTTACCCTGGCAACGAAGGGCGATTCTAGCCACGCGGTCAGGGAAACCGCGGCGCTTCACGAGGGCCAACGGGGATCCGTCGTCGTCACTGTCGTCCCCGTCGCCTTCGCTATCGCTGCTGAGCACCATTCTGGACGTGCGTGGCGCCATACCGGAAAGCATGGTCTTCGGCCTGCGATTGCCGGTCGTCGATGACGACGTCGTCATTCTGGTGCCCTGGAAGCACGGCGCAGTTTCGCGGATGCTCTGGATCGTCTTCGGCGCGGACAGGCCGCTGTTGACGGCGCGGCGGATGTCCTCGGCCGTCACTCCGGGCTTGATGGCATCGAGCAAGGCGAACACTTGGTACTGTATGTGCGTGGGGGCTGCCGCTGTCCTCAGCATAGTCAGAGCCCGCAGCTCATGTCTGAGGGTGATGAGCTGACGCATGGTGAAGAAGTTCAACTGGTGGAAGTCGTGACGGCAGTGGCGCTCTTCGCGTTGCCAGTCTCGTAAGTCATCCTCGAGTACGTTGGCGTCGACACGGAGTTCTTCAATGACCATTCTACATCCCTTGCCGTCGCTTAAGCCGTCATAGCCAGCGCAGTTGTATTCTTTGTGCCAGTCCAAGTACTTGGTACTACCCATGGAGCAATGCTCCACGAGAGCTTTCCCAACCCGCAACACTCCCTCAAACACCTGCACACAAACACACGCGCACAAGCAGACATGCGCCGTGGACCGCAGAACGGCACATACACCATGGTTGCAAGCAATACAGACACACGCGTGCACACACGTAAACATGCATGTAAGCACACATGTAAACACACACACACACACACACACAACATTAGCTTTACAGATACTTGAGGCACGATAAAGAAACTTCCCGCACACATCACGCTAGCACTTTCTTTAACTTCCAGCTCGAAAAAGACATTCGGTCAACAAGAAGAGGACAATGAAACCGGCACTTCGCAGCATAGATAAATTAACCTTCGAAGAAGTGCTGTCACCCACCCGACACTTGTAAATTTGACCAAGGGAGCTCTTAAAAATGAACTTGAAGATAAGAATCCCATGGGAGGGACGACATCCATAATCCAGCTTATTAACCGTCGCCAAAGCTCACGCACCTCCATGAAATCGTTGACGGTTCCTTCTCGATGTTCGGCCTTGCCAGCCACCAGAACCAGCTTGCTGTGCAGGTCCTTGATATTCTCCACCTGATACGTCTTGTTGTCGTGTACGGACTCCTTGCCCACTTCGGGAGGAATGAATAGCCCCACGCAAGACTCCAGTGTTGGCAGGTCAGCAGCAGCTGTATACGGAGAACGCAGAACTCAAGTAGTTGACAGACAGCTACTGCAAGTCAACAAATATTCAGCGCATATTTATTTCCGGCTATTTTGGGCCTGATCATATTTGGCGGAAAATTCGTTGCAGTCAAAATTTTGTTTTGCAAGGTTCAGTGTGACAGTGTATACAGGCAGCAGCAGTACAGGCCGAAAATTTGTTGCAGCCGAAATGTGTTTTAGCCCTGGGAGGCCGAAATTTGAATAGGCCGAAATTTTGTCGACTTACAGTACGGTGAAAACTAAAAACCAGTGCCAAGCAGCCACAGTCAGACCCCGCTTATCCGGTCCTCTCTTATCCGGATCCCTCGGCATCCGCAAGAAAATCGTTGGTCACCGATTTACAGCATATGCCATGCACACATACAGTATGTGGGTTCGAATATCTGGTTCCCTCGCCTATCCGGATATTTTTGGTGGAAACCGGGTGTGTGCGCGGTTAAGCGAGGTCAGACTGTACCGGACTAGATTTGTGTGAACACTGCTGCTGCTGCTGCTGCTGCTGCTGCTTTGAGGTAAAATGAGTATGGATTGACTGAAGACCGTGAAATGGGTCTACAGTAAAATCTGCCAAGGCGACCACTCGGATAAGGCGACCACCTGTCCAAGAAGACCACTGAAACCAGGATCAAGCCATATGATTCAAGACATGCTATTTCAAGTCAAGTGAACCTGGATAAGGAGACCACCTGGTAACAGAGACCACATTTTGAAGGTCCCCTTGAGCGGTCGTCTTAGACAGGTTCCACTGTATATACTGTACATGTCGTGTTGCCTACAGACAGCCTACAGACAGCTGCTGATAGCTGCTCAATGAAACGGGATTGTGTGAGTCAAGTACGTGCTGGGTGCTGGGATGTTCCCCGGCGCACGGCGCAGAGATGACTCACTTGATAGCATCTCATTGAGCACTGAGCAGCATTGTGCGTGTAGGCCTGCATAGGAAGGCCTATCCGCAGAGGTCATGCGAGTGATTTCACGGGGCGAGTCAGCCGATTTCTAATCTAATGGGCACTAAGTGTGCAGCATGAGTCACTAGTGCAAGCGCAGCGCTGCGCCACGAGTCCGCGACTTTGCCAAAGCATCGCAGTTGATGATGTAATAGCATAACCTCTATAACACACCAGTGTTCTGTGCATGCCACTGTGGTGATCACAAACTCCCCATTGCACTGTATTCGTAGATTCCTGAGAAACAAGTACTGTAAATAGCCTAATGTTTGCGACCGGACGCATTTGTGTTTGCTAATTTTGCGAGAAGAGCATAACGCGAATATTAACCAGCGTGAAATCAAACTTCAACAGTGGGTGTATGTGTGTAGCCACAGTGTTCGTGAAAATGTGCAATCGCAAACTCGCCGGCTCTGAGAAATAGCGAAAGTTTAGTGACGCGAATATTGGGCGATTTGCAGTACATGTCGCAAGCCGTGCAATCCTCACCTCCGCTTGTCGGTACCCCAATCGTGTAGATGCCGCGCGTGTTGATGGCATCTGCCTGCGAGTAGGAGGTGACGGTGACGGACTCGTGCGACTGACGCACACTTTTCAGCCACTCCAAAGACCGCTGCGTGTCACGCTGCAAGCAAAAACAAAGAACACAGCAGAAGAACAGGCGTTTTTTTGTGTTTTTTTTTGTTTTGTTTTGTTTTCTGACTTCCTCGAACTCGTACCACAAGAACATGAATATCCTGTACAGTGGCAGGCGCAGTCGGTAATAATTGGTCTACGGCCGTGGTTGAGAAACCAGAGGTTCCAGGTTCAAGTGCTGCGTGAAAGCGGCTAGATTATCCAACCGTGCTGCGAGCCTGCGACCCACAGTGAATTGGGAACTTGCGGTCTGGCACAAGGGTAACATGGATGCGGCACATGGGATGTTATCCTTGCCTGGCGTCTGGTTCGTGGATCTGGCGTACACGGGGCGGACGAACGCAGCGAGGAGTGCGCTTGACAGAAACGCAGTGTGTGGTACCTCCCGCTTTTACACCTACTGTGTTCATCAGACCCCCCGCCCCATTCGGCGGCAAATGCGGGCCATTCCGGATACAGTTCAAGACTTGAAACATTTCGTGTCCCGAGTATAGTGGAAACCCAGTGAGATGTTGAGTGTGGTGTAGTACACTGCACTGTACGCTGGCAGATATAGTACGTACGAGCTTTGTGGGCAGGAGTCGATCTGCCTCCAGGGCCCTGAAAGTCGGTTGGCACGACTCTATGAAGCGTGAGAAGTCCGATTCCGGCGGCAGCTGATAGATCAAGCTGCCGTAGCCCGTACAGGAGGTGTGAAGGATAGAGATGCGACCAGCATCATCAGCACCACCGTCACCAATGGCAATCGTGGCCAGATCGACAAACGTCTTCAGCTCCTTCAGCTCTGGAAAGAGAAAGGGGATAGAGGAAGAGATGGAGAATGAGAATGAGAGTGTGAGAGAGAGAGAGAGAGACACACACACACACGCATGCACGCACACACGCACGCACACACGCACGCACGCACGCACGCACACAGGACCACGCACACATTGAGAATTTTTCAATGATGGCACATTGAGCAACGCAGGTGACGTTTTTGAAATGGTACAGCAAAACTCCAGCGTGCTTTTAGAGTAAAATTTCGCACCGTAAACAACCAGTTGTACCACGATGCACAGCTTATAACATACACAGCAAGACAATGGTGAACACGGTTATTGTAAAACATGTAAGTTAAGGTGCATTCAAATTTCGGTGCCAGGGACCTGCCAGGTTCCAGGTGTTATGTAGAATTAGGCAACCAGCTTTCCCTTCACATACAGTGCATACTCTAGTGCCCTTTAGGTGTAATTTAAATTTAGGTGCCTGTTTTCTCTACCGAAATCACCGAAATTAAAGTTATACCGAAAATAACATGTTCTACACACCCGATCGTTGAGTGTTTACTTGTGGGTGTTTACTTGTGGGTCTTGTGGATCTAGTTGATCTAGCTATTCAAGGTGGTATACGACGCTATGAAAATGGAGAAAATAATCGTCTCCGCTCGTGAGAGAATTCACGACGGCCGCTAGCACCCGGAAAAAGGTCGGATACAGCAGTACGAAAATTGGTATTGTATCTCGTTTCATCAAGAATACATAGAAGCTGAGAGCAATGTACGTCCGTGTGGCGTACTCTTTTACAGTCATTTCACAACTTGGATACGCAGTACCACACCTTGGATATGCAGTACCACACCTTGGGTATGCAGTACCACACCTTGGATATGCAGTACCACACCTTGGATATGCAGTACCACACCTTGGATATGCAGTACCACACCTTGGATATGCAGTACTACACCTTGGATATGCAGTACCACACCTTGGATATGCAGTACCACACCTTGGATATGCAGTACCACACCTTGGATATGCAGTACCACACCTTGGATATGCAGTACCACACCTTGGATATGCAGTACCACACCTTGGATATGCAGTACCACACCTTGGATATGCAGTACCACACTTTGGATATGCAGTACCACACCTCGGATATGCAGTACCACACCTTGGATACGCAGTACCACACCTTGGATATGCAGTACAACACCTTGGATATGCAGTACAACACCTTGGATATGCAGTACTGTACCTGCACAAACAAACCTGCCCTAACCAGACACCCATAGTGCTGCGGAAACTGTCCTGATATGACAGGATTTTACTTGATCCAGAGATGCACATTTGATCCACAGCACGTCGTTGCATGAATATTTGTCCGGGTCAATGCAGGGTCTCGCTTGGTACAGGGTCCGGCAAACACAGGTCTTACTGTAATTGAAAACACCAAAACTACTTGCCGGGAATTCAGTTTCGTCGTTTTCCTCTAAAGAGTTTTCAGACTAAATTAAAAATGAAGAACTACAGTCGATTGTCCAGCTTGTCTTGTCTTGTCAACACTCAACGATGTTCAACAAGAAAAACTGTCTTTCTTTTGAGGTGTACGAAATTATTCACCGACTAAATGATCTGATCGTACAGCACCGCAATCTCGAGCAGTTTCTTGTCTTCAACGTGCGAGTGCCACAGCCAGAAGGTGCAGACTGACATGTCCCCAAGCATGTGGGCTATTCTGGGGCTGCACGGTTGTAGCTCACGACAAACACACACACACGAACCTTTCACTTCCTGACGGAGCCAGTCGACAAGAGCGCTGCACTTGGCAAAGGCATTCAAACACTCGACCTGATCTTTGCCGAGGCTGGTCAGGAACTTGCTGGCATGCACCAGCTTATCAGATAGCGCACTCAACGGACTGTTCTTGAACTCATCTGAAGTCTGAGAAGACGAACATACGAGAGAGAGAGAGAGAGAGAGAGAGAGAGAGAGAGAGAGAGA